CTTGGAAGACATAGCAACGATCATTGAATATCCCATTCGAACTTAGTCAAGCAGTAGAACAGTAGAGTAGAATAGAGCATGTCATGGACCCAGAGACGTAGCTTCCTTGCAGAGGTGTTGGCAAATGTTCTCCTCAACTAAAATACTCGCCTTTATCGACATTGCTTTTGAACCGAATGGCCTGAGTTATTCTAGGAGAGCAGCTCTACAAAGCAAGATTCCCCCAGACAGTTCCAGAAGAGCAGCTCTACTAGGCAAAGACACCTCAGGACAGTTCAAGATGCTCCTTTGCTCACTGACTGCTATTTTCGTACTGGGTTCGATTGTACTCTCACTCTTAGTTCAAGAGGTTCCCCTTTTCCATAATAATTGCCAAAACAACCGTTAGATTCCTCTAGTCATGGACAATTAGTCGATACTCGCCTTTCGATTCAACGCAATAGCAGTGTGTTCAATAGAAATTGCGAAGTCTGGAGCGACCTTGGCTGCCGCATTCCGGCCGGCCAGCAAGCCAGCCTGCCGCCGCTCGCTTACCCGCCTCAACTAATCGACCAATAGTGCATGCTTAGCTCGCGCTGTTTTTGTAAGCGCCGGGATACGGTAGTCGCAACGGCAGCATTACTGCAATGTAAAATAGAGGGGGATAGTTGGCAAATAGGCTGGAAAATTCTTATTCTACATCCACAAAGCCTGAATCCTTTACCTGCCTAAGGTGGCCTTACCAAAACTCTCGGAGGAACCATTTCAATTGGAACTGGAAGGCTTTACAAGCTCATTGTACTTGAACCTATCAACAGTGCGGGTCCGGCAGAATCTTTTGAAATTCCCCTCTGCCACCGTACAGCACTGACCAGTCCATCACGATAGGGTTAGGCCAGGCTGGCCGCAGTAGGGGCGGGCGCGTTCAGCCTCGATGACCACGCCCCTTCCCTCGGCGCTCCTCTTACCATCCACTCATATAAGAGGCAAATGAGCACTGACGCTGTGGCTCAAGTGTCATGGCCAGTTGAGTCCGACTTTCGCCTCCTTCTGAAAAGCACCTTGAGATGGTCTGAGTACCGCTTGACATCGCCGCCGCCGCTCGTCGCCATCTCTGCCATGCAGTCAGTTACCGACGGCGGCTGCTGGCTGGTTGGCTGGCAAAGCAACTGATAACGGCAACGGCGTGATGTCTTCAACTCTGACCATCTCAAGGTGCGACTTCGTTTTATTTTCGTCATGTCATTTATGCTNAGCAACTGATAACGGCAACGGCGTGATGTCTTCAACTCTGACCATCTCAAGGTGCGACTTCGTTTTATTTTCGTCATGTCATTTATGCTTCTTATTTTGCCTTTGCTGTGCGTGTTTATGTTTTTGGAGTCATTTTGATCCATTTATAGTAGCCAGAATGACTGCCAACGCCACCCCTGGCGTTGTCGACAACGCTCCAAATGCCTTCAGCTTCCCATCGCAGTCTGGTCAAATGCCATATTTCAACTTTCCGCCAAACTACACACCCGGCGGTGATTTCTCCAGGTCAGCTGCTTTCCACAGTCCTTTCCTATTGTTTTCTTAAATGACTGCGTTGTAGTTGTATATTACTATGTAGTTCTGAATTTTTTGGAATTTTTCTTCAAGTGAGCATTAAAACTTCCTATAAAAGGCACTAATTGATTAGGCTCTTAGGCTTTTTACCATTTACAAAGTAGTGAGCATACCTCAGCTCACCATAACCTAATAAAAGGTGGAAAAAGGGCTGAAATCGCAGCGCTTAAAGTGCTTCTCTTGTAGATTGTCTAGCCGGAAGGTGTCAGAGTGAAGAAAGCGGTTCATTTCAATTGATTAATCCAGTTTGCATACCTTGACCCTAAGGTAAAATGACAGTATTTTAGTTGGGCGAACGCACAGACGACAGCCAGCTGGTACCAACCCGATCCACGATTCGCAAGTAAGTAAACATCTGATTACGGTAGTATGTTGGCTAAACTCTGATGATGGTATTTGTGCTCTTTCGTCGTTGTGAGAAATTACGTGTCTGTGTTTGTCGTGCATTGCATCATCACGATGACTTTTTTGGTGGCCTTATTGATAGAATGGACTTCACCAACGAGCTAGGCCTATGTAGAGCCGTGGTGGAAGCCCTATTTCAGTTGGGCTAAGGATAGAAAAGAGTTCTGACGTCCGCACACGCCGTCATCGAAATCTATGCAGTTATTAGTGTCTAATTGATGGCGCATCGCCTTGTATCGGGGCGACAGAAAACTGGCCATACGATTCCTGCGGCTCAGCAAATTATACTCTCAATTTCACAGCCCATTGACGAACATGTCCTTGTCCACTTATCGTGAACCATAGAGTATAGTTAATAAGTAGTAGAAGTGGTAAACACAGTATCTCCCTCGCCCGTATCCGCCTTGACGACAAAGTTTTGTACGTTATGAAAGGCTACGTGGGAGTGTTTTTTGCACTTTCGCTTTGCATTACCACTACAGTAACGCGAAAGAAGACAGTATCGTAACTTAGAGACGCAGAGTACCGGAGGTGAGTAAGGGGAACAGGTTGTGTTTCCCATGACGAATTCCCACACTATTCGATTCTCACAAACGTCCCACTCTCTCTATCGCAATCACGAACGCCTCGGGTACAATGAAAGGGAAATCTCGTAGGGTTCGGGAAAAATTGACGGCCCACTTGTCACCCAAATACGAGAGTTTTAGCTGGCCACTGAAAGCTTTCCCTGGAAAAATCGAGAAGAGTTCGAAGTCATAAGAAAAAAAGACCCGATGAAATCCGTAATCTCATATGCCTTTCCCTGAATTCAATGAAAATGGGGCCCAACTCCCGTCTGTAAACCGCTAGTCAACGCAATAATTGGTCTTTTGTTAAGGAAGATCAGGGTGAATAGGCTCTGAGGCTCATGATCCAGCAATTTTGGTCAGGTTAGGCGATTTTGAGCTGAGTTGTTCCTCCACGATCTTCACGTAAAGCTTCATAGGCAGAGCGCAGTCTCCTCCAGGAATTGGAACACTGATGGTGGACCAGTGGCAGTGAGTGCATTGAAGAGAGCAGACTAGTTCCATTGGATTTTTGACTTTTTTCATGAAACTATATCAAAGACTAACTGCTTAGCCCCATGAAAACTGAATAGAACTAAGTCAGGCAGACATGGGAGCTCTGTGAGCAAGTCCAAGCCCCTGTCAAGAGAAAGAGTAGGATCGAAGTAGTCTTGGCTAGGGTCAACAACATTTTTCGCGCTCAGGCTTTCAAACATACGATTAGATCAGCTAATCGGAACTGGTCAGTCCCCATATAGGGGACCAGGAACCTGCATGGGAGCCCATGTGAACTTTTCGGTCAGTTTGAGAAATAGATGTTTATAATTACTGTGCTCATGCTGTTCATGTTGAGTTCATCAGACATAGCAATCGGTCATCGTTACCCCCGATCGTCTAAGCTAAATCCACCCAGTGGGAGCTGGACAAGAGGTCAATTGAGTGTGATTCTAGACCCACTACGGGGGGTACAGTCAACATAGTACGGGGTAGCAGAACACTTTAGTCATTGAACACTATCCCAGAATGAGAATTTGCCCCCGTGGGTACCGTAGGTGACCTTGTTTAGCATATTGGATTATCACGCATTACCATTTCGATAATTGCGCAATTCGTGAACCAGGTAACTTGATCCATGTTCCCGAATGGGAGCCTGAGCTGCGCAATACTTTGCTACCACTTGAGCGTAAGTGAAGTGATATGAATGGAGTCCATGGGCAGGTAACCATGATCCGTGGCAAATAATTGTCGAGAATTTTGCAGAATACGTTCCCTAGCAAATCAAGGGGATCTCCCGTATGTTGTTAGCTGTCCTAACCATTTCCCGAGGTTCCACTGAACGTTGGCGCTCGCTCGTCGTCGTTGGTACAAGGTCAAGAACGACTGCCATGAACTCGGTCTGTGTTTGTCTTTGCCTCTTTTCGCGTTTATCGAGAGGGACAGGACAAACGCTGCTTAGTCGATGGCGATGCAGCCAATTCCCACAACATCTCCCTCTCCCCTCCTACCCATCACAAATAAGAAATCAGGAATAGCTGAGCACCAATATCGCGCCCAAAATCTCCGGAAATTGACACTTGTCCGTGGAACAATTGGCGATATCGTAGTCAAATATAGTCATGAACAACCCGGATACGATAGTTGTTTGAGATCCATGGAATGTACATATGGATTTCTATAGAACAGGTGTTCACCTAAATCATTGCAGTAAATCGTTTTGGTGGTCCCAATCTTGGCTTGAACATCGCTGCATCACAAGGATTGGTGAATTCGATGAGCAGGCGGAAGCGAAGGGTTCTATTCACTCAGCAGCAGGTAGGATTATATGGATTTCTTCAAGCGATTCTTGTAAACACCCAGTTAATTGCAGGTGAATGAGCTAGAAAGGCAATTCCGACACAAAAAGTACTTAAGTGCACAGGATCGTGAGCTCCTGGCAAAGAACATCGGTCTGTCGCCCACTCAGGTACGTCATCGTCCAGGTCGCTTCTGAAGACCCCTCTGAAAACACTTGACGATTCACCGATGCACCTGCCATTTATTACGTAACCGTAAGCGTCAAAGGCTAACCGCGACTCCACCAGCTAGCCTCCTTCCTTCCTTTTGCGGCTGTCTGTCTTTCGCAGCCCTCTAGCCAATCCAGTCTCTCTTACGGTTCTGGTTCCACACGGCTACACGGCTAGGTGCAAGTTGCTATTGTCCCAAACACGTCCCAACTAAATTCTAGCCAATCAACACCCAGGCAAGTAGCTGACGCACGACTGCGCTTCCCCATAGAAAAACTTTACAAAAAGCCACTATCTAAAGCTATTTTAGGTGAAGATCTGGTTTCAAAACCAGCGATACAAGCATAAACGACAAGACAAGGAACGGGCGATGAGCAAAGGGGGTGGCAGAGAAAATAGCGAATCCCCTGGAAGTCATGAAGACAGCGATGGCGAGCAGACAGCCGAGTAAGTATTCGCCAAGGAGGACTGGAAGGTCAATCAATAACCTTTCACTTCACTTCCTTTTTCAGGAGCATCAAATCGGAGAAAATTGACGTCGAAGAAAAGCCTTCAGCGTTCCCATCACCAGCCGTCAACGACACCTCATGCCTGCCCGACATCAATAATCCGATTTATCAGCAGGTGTGTGAAGATACGCCCGTCAATTCCGAATTACCGTAATCCTATCATGACGGCCGCTAACAGCCATCGTCATATGTCTGGCCAACCAGCCAGCAGCACAGCTAACGAATCTTGTTTGGTGGTGTGTTTGAAATTAAGTGGAAGCCCTTAGCCTGACGTGATTTGAAATTCGTCCCACGTAACTGGATTACATACTGTCACGAGGTTGGAAACGGAATCTGCTCGTTACTACCAGGCTTTTCTCATGCTTATGTGAGGGCTAATGCTGTAGGATAAAGTGTAGGGGTGCTGTTGGGGGCGAGTTGTCGGGAAGGCAGAATCCGCATGGTTAATGGGATAACTACATAGTAATTGAGAGTTCTCTGTGCCGTAGTGACAAATAGTTTTGAGAACAAGCTTATCTGCATTTTATTGTTTTTGCCTCCAACGTTAGTTCGGCTTTAAGTTGGTCCCAGCTGTTTGCTTTTTGCGGTATACCTGGCTCGGGTGGAGTCTTAAGCTCGTCTTTATTTCTAATATTCGAACAAGCCTTCATTCCGAAGGCGGGCCGGGCAAATGCCCGTGCCACTATCAGCAAAGTTACCAGCCACCTCCTTCTGGAAAGCCTAGTTATCGGTTGTAAGTCCTATTAGGAATTTTAGCATCGAGGATGGGCGCTGTTTAATCAGTTGTAACTCTAATTCCTTTATTAATACATAATTGTTGTGACATGATGTCAAGTAACCTCAACTAGGAAGTCATCAACGCGAGCCGTACCCTATCTGCCACCGTTCATTTCATTAGGTTCTGGAGTATCATTAGAAAGTCAGTACAAAAATGCAAATTTAAAAAAAAATAATATGGAAGTAAATCAATTGAAAGTGAGTGCTCAGATGAATTTGATCTACTCGGAAGACACTGAAACTCTGTTCTGAAGCCTTCGTTGGAACTACCATATAAGGAGCAATTGTACGCAACGCAACACTTTCTTGCTTATCTGAACATATGATGGCCGAAATGCTTAGCCTTATTTAACATATAATTCTTTACGAGTTCGGATCCGACCACTGCGCTGCTGAGACCCATTGAAACTTGTATCAAGCATGTGGCCTTGAGTTCCTCCTGAGCGGTTCTGTGCACATCTCATTCAACGCATCACAGCCTGGGATCAAGAGGTCGAGGATGAACTTTGATCTGGTCATGGGATTGTCATATCATGAAATCTCCGGGTATCTATGCGCATCCCAGTGAGTAGAGCCTTTTTATAGAAACCCTATGGACTTTTATAGAAACCCTATGGAAACTCCCGGAAAATACCAGAAGAACTCTCGACTACTGCAAAATTCTGAGCAGATGCTTTCCGCTTAACCTAGTAATACATTAGCGCGTATTTGCTTAAAAACCTTGGCCCCCCAAAAAAATCTAATGAATGCCTTTCGGTTTCTTACAATCAGATTAGTTCCACCTCCTTCATTCTAAAAACTTAAAAAAATGCAAATAAATTTACATAATTTCAGGCGATGTATCAACAGCATGCCTACATTCCGCAAGGCATCACCTTCCCATTCGCTCAGGGTTACTCAACTACCGGTCAATATCCATATTCTCAATATCGATTGTAATTTATTGATAATCGTTGTACGATCAATGCGATCTCTT